CAGAGAGAACTATACAGGGATCAATTCCAATAATTGACCCCCCTCACTGCACCCATCACCCTCCCTATGTACAATACATTTCCCCCCTGCTGCCCTTGCCCCCCTGTGTGCCCCTACCCCTGCAGTGCTGCCACCTTCCCTCCTCACCTTCCCACTGGCAGCTGCAAGCACACAATAGGATCCTTCAGGATGGAAAGTGGGGGAAGGTTCCAGGAAATATGTCACATTTACCAGCCCTCTTCTTTCCTGAATGAACACAATGAGTGATTGGTACCAATCACTCACTGTGTTCATTCATAACTGAAGCATCATAAATTGTGCTTTTGTTTGGGGAGGGGGGCCCTGTCATGTTGGCTGTATGGGGCCCCATGGTTTCTAACAGCAGCCCTGGTCCCTTGGTACATACTGCACCAAAAGTTAGTATCGCTCACCACACCACACCACAGCAGCTATCAGCCTCCCTTTTCAGTTCAGATCACACTTGTGAATGGGGCCATTAGGGGTTCCCTGTGTTTAGCTACATCTGGAAGCCCCATTGACAGCAATGGGAGGCTGTCAGCTTCTGCAGCTAATCATGGCTGCTCACATGTAATCGCTCAAGCAGCAATAACCTGCAAATGATTGGCCCTGGACTCAGGAGCTGTTGGCCTCCTATTGCTTTTAATGGGGCTTCTGCCCACAGCTAATTGCCAGGAACCCTGGCTGGGTCTCCTGCATGTAATCACTAATGGCTCAATTTGCAAGTGTAAATGTAGGGTTTACCTACAAGAAACTAATCCCTTTTCTATGTATATTTAAAATCACTGATAGGATTATCCAATCCAATTAAGTGATCAGTAAGAGTCCAAGAAAAGTCATTTGAGATGATAATGCGGATGTAGGGTGGGGAGGGCAGTGGAGTACAGAGGTGGCAACAGACAAGACACACAGTACATACCCAAACCAGCCATTACATTATGACCAACCACCATAACCCATCAAGACCTCTGAAGATATGCTACGGTATCTGGTACCAAGCCGTTAGTAGCAGATCCTTTAAGCCCTGTAAGTTGTGAGTGGGGCCTCCATGGATCAGATTTGTTCGGACAAGCACATCCTACAGATGCTTGATTGGATTGGGATTTAGAGAATTTGGAGGCCAAGTCAACAACTCAAAGTCGTTATTGTGTTCCTCAAAGAATTCTTGTATTCATTAGACCAGGCCAACTTTATCCATTGCTCCTGTGGTCCAGTTCTGATTCTTTTGTCCTCAATGTAGACCGGTCTGCAGCTGTGCAGCCCAACACACAACAATCTGTGATGCACTGTGTGTTCCGACACCTTTATATTGGGACCAGCATTAGCTTTTTCAGTAATCTAATTTACAGTAGCTCTTCTATTGTATCAGAATACTCAGGTCAGCCTTCTCCCCGCACATGCATCAATGAGCCTTAGCCACTCATGACCCTGTCGCTGGTTGGACCACTTTTGGTAGGTCCTGACTAATGCAGATCGGTAACATCTCACAAGAGCTGCGGTTTTGGAGCTGGTCTGACCCAGCCGTCTAGCAATTACAATCTGGCCCTTGTCAAAGTCAGGCAAATCCTTAAAGCAGTATTACACCAAAAGTCAAACATTTATTGTATTACAGTTTACCAATGCTTTTGCATTTGTTTGTTTTTTTAGGCTTTGCTTTTCTTTTTTCACCTGGTGATCTGGCCAGTAAGTTGGTGTTTTTTTCAAAAGGACACGTTCTCTTCCAGATGTATCAATTTACAGGGATGAGAAAAAACGTTTACAACTGACAGAGCTGCTTACAATAATCAGCTTTTATTTATTCATGTAAAACCTTTATCCCAAAAGGGAAAAAAAACATGTTTGCTGTATCTGATTATGAAGTATTAGCTGGAGTTTGGCTTCAATTTGTTATTGTATTCAAATCTGCTAATACATTTAACACATTCATCCCCCTAGACCAGTGGTCGGCAAGCCGTGGCTCGCGAGCCACATGTGGCTCTTTACACGCTTTAATGCGGCTCTTGTGTGCCGGGCGCCCGCTCCCTCCCTCCTCTCGAGCGGCAGGGACTCTGCAGCGTGATCCAAAAAAAAAACAGCCAGGGCAGCGCGCTCAAATGCAATGATTGGCCAGTCTCGCTGCCACTCACACATCCTGATAGCCAGTGATTGGCTGTCAGGATGTGTGTAGGCGGGGCAGCGTGACGAACGTGAGAGGAGCTAGGCTCCTCTCACAGTCCGCCCTGAAGACCGGAACGGCGCGGGAACACGGCGAGAGGAACGCGCGCGGTAAGTGAAAAATTGCAAAGGTTAAGTGAATTGACACAGGGGGACTTGGCTTACTACTTGCTACTTACTTACTACTACTATATGGGGGATGAATATACTATAGGGGGGATGAATTACTATGGGGGATGAATTACTATATGGGGGATGAATTACTATGGGGAATTTACTATGGGGATGAATTACTATATGGGGGATGAATTAATATGGGGGATGAATTACATGGGGGATGAATATATGGGGGATCAATTAATATGGGGGATGAATTACTATGGGGGATGAATTACTATGGGGGATGAAATACTATATGGGGGGATGAATTACTATGGGGGATGAATTACTATGGGGGATGAATTACTATATGGGGGATGAATTACTATATGGGGGAATGACTTACTATATGGGGGATGAATTACTATTACTATAGGGGGGATGAATTACTACATGGGGGATGAATTACTATAGGGGGGATGAATTACTATAGGGGGGATGAATGACCTATTACTATGGGGATGAATTACTATATGGGGGATTAATTACTATATGGGGGATGAATTACTATATGGGGGATGAATTACTATATATGGGGGGGGGGATGATGATGAATTACTATTACTATATGGGGGATGAATTACTATGGGGGCATATATGGGGGGGGATGAATTACTATGGGGGATGAATTAACTATGGGGGATGAATTATATATGGGGATGATATATATGGGGATGAATTACTATGGGGGATGAATTACTATGGGGGATTAATTACTATATGGGGGGATGAATTACCTATATGGGGGATGAATTACTGGGGGATGGGGGATTACTAATGGGGGATGAATTACTATGGGGATGAATATGGGGGATGAATTACTATGGGGGAATGAAATTAATTATATGGGGGATGATGAATTACTATGGGGGGGGGATGAATTACTATGGGGGGATGAATTACTATGGGGATGAATTACTATATGGGGGATGGGGGGATGATTACTAATTACTAATGGGGGATGAATTACTAAAATTACTATAGGGGATGAATTACTAAATGGGGGATTACTAAATTACTATATGGGGATGAATTACTATATGGGGGATGAATTACTATGGGGGATGAATTACTATAAAAAACTTATTGAAACTAAAAAACAGTGTACCATCCTATGTATTTTCAGTTTTAAAAATGTGGCTCTCAAAATAAATTTCAATCGTGGTTTTGGCGAGATTTGGCTCAGTTGAAAAAAAAGGTTGCCCACCACTGCCCTAGACTGACAGTGCTGCTGTATGTTGTGCCCTGTGCTCGTCCTTTCAAAGTGGTGTCTCACTAATACAGGACAGGGTTGCCAGCTGCCCATAAATTTACGGACAGTTTGTAAAAATCATCTGATTTTTAGCTGTCCTTAAATGTCCGGGAACTGGCATGATTGTCTGTAAAAAAGATGGCTGCAGTCGGCTTTGAAACTGCATATGTGCAGTTCCAAAGCTGGGCTGAAAGGTCCTCAGCTTCGGGCTCCGGCTCGGGCTTCGGCTTGGGCGATGGGCAAGTGCACAGTCATATCATGGCGCTTGGCACCATTTCCGAAAAATGGAGAAGAGGATCAAAGACAGCCTAGCCAAGCAAGACTGACTGAGCCTACCGCCCTCAGTGCTCTCCTGAGCCTGAGCAATTACGGAAGACTCTGAGGCTGAGCTGTTACATCGACAGTTCCTTCATCTCGCCCATACAGAGAGGGCTATCGCCTTGCTATTAAATGACTCTCCACGAGACTCAGCCAGTGAACTGGCACCGATGTTATATGTGATAGAAAGGGGACCAACATCTTCCAAAACTAGACAGTTTCTCCATGCTGACCTGTATGGTATGCTGAGTAAGCTGCAGTGTTGTTGACAGGGGCGGACTGACCATTTGGACTGCCCGGGGTCAGTAAGGGGCCCCATGAAATGCCCCTGGTACCTTTCATAGGCTTTTTTAGGAGTGGTTTGAGTGTGGGCGAGGACACAGAGGACCCATGATCCCCTATTGTCCGGGGGCCCCATGAGTTGTCAGTCTGCCCCTGGTTGTTGACGTTTGCTGCTCACATTAGGGCCATCGTTAAGAAATATAGCTTAAAAGTTAATTTATTGACCTTGCATTTTTAAAACTTCTAATTGAATATTTTAATAAGAAATTACAATGTGCCCATCTCAGCAATCAGTGTCTTTAGAGTTCCCCTTTACATCAGAGTCTGCAGGGTTACCCCTTACATACTGTGGTGATGTAAGAGGAACTCTATAGACTCTGATGTAAGTGGGGGCTCTGGTGACCAGAGTTCCGCTTTACACAACAGAAGCCCCCTTACATCATGGTCTACAGCGTTCCCCTTTACATCAGAGTTCCCTTTTACATCAGGGTCTGCAGAGTTCCCTCTTACACTTTAAGGGGTGACCCTGTGGACTCTGATGTAAGGAAGAACTCTGTGGACTGTGATGTAAAGGGGAACTCTGTGAACTGTGATATAAAGAGAATTTTCTGTAGCTTGGAGAAGTAACTTTGATTGCACTGGAACAGGGGCGGACTGACCATTTGGAAACTCAGGCACTGCCCGAGGGCCCGGGGTCAGTATGGGGCCCCATGAGATGCCCCTGGTACCTTTTTCATAGGCTTTTTTGAGTTTAGGCAAGGACACAGGGGCCCCATGATCCCCTATTGCCCAGGGGCCCCATGAGTTGTTAGTCCACCCCTGACCGGAAGTGATCTTTACTGAATACCTGTTGCTATATCAGTTGGATATATTATACTGCTCATACTGGCCGACCCTTTGGGCGGTCAAACCTTCTGGTAAGAGGCCAATTCATTTGGGTGGAAGGTGATGGTCTTCTTTCTGGATTGGGATTCTCTCTTTATGCACCAACTTTTATCCATACATGTGAAGCCTGTATGGACTGTGTTACCACCTATGTACATTTTTCCATTTACCTTTTTGCTTTTTCAATTAGATGCATGTATAACTAGCACTGCAATTGCTTTGTTTTTGTGATATAAAGAGGAACTATGGGGAGTCTGATGTAAGGAGGAATTCTGCGGACTGTGATGTAAAGGAGAACTCTGTGGAGTCTGATATATGGGGGTCTCTGAAGACTCTTGTGTAAGGAGAAAGTCTGTGGACTCTGATGTAAAGGGGAACTCTGATGTTACCAGGCACTCTGATGTAAGGAGGGACTTTTGGAACCTTGATGTATGGGGAAATGCTGGGGACTTTGATATAAAGGTCAACTCAGGGTTCATCCTGACTGTTGCACTCTATATGTTGTTTTTTATGTTACTTACTCCTGACCCCTGCACTCTGTACATTACGTTCTGACCAAGGTGTTCATTGTCCCAACAGTTGCTGGTTTAGCCCGGGTTCACATATATGCAGTGTGGTGAATCGCATGTGATTCGCACAGGAACTGCATCACATTCCTGTAAATATCACATGTGATTTGTGTGTGGTGTGATTTGAGCCATACATTTTGTATGGCTGTAATCGCACCACATCCGCACCAAAAACGTGCAGGACCCTTTTTTGGTCTGCACTAGAATGGGATCGCATGGGTATTCACATGATTTGCAGACCGCTTTTGGGGGGGGTTGTTAAATGAACATACACACCCACAACGGTTTGCATGAACGGGGTGCAATACTGATGCGGTGCGGAATTCGCACTGAAAACACTGGAAATTCCGCACCGCGTCAGTGTGAGTCAGGGCTTAATGAAGCTCTTCTTTAAGGTAGGCTCAGTCAGACACAAATTAAATCATTTTTGTGTGCATAAAGGCATATGTAATAGAATTTTTTTAAATAATCCTTTGTCCAGAGGTTTAATTGTGTCTGTCTGTGTCTGTGAGGCTGTCCATTGTGGCACAGTAATTAGGAATATTTTGTGGGTACAAGGACTGTTATATGTGTGCTGTGCAGGGGCGGACTGACGACTCATGGGGCCCTCGGGCAATAGGGGATCATGGGGCCCCTGTGTCCTTGCCCAAACTCACAAAAGCCTATGAAAAAGGTACCAGGGGCATCTCATGGGGCCCCCTACTGACCCCCGGCCCTCGGGCAGTGCCCGAGTTTCCAAATGGTCAGTCTGCCCCTGGTGCAGTGTATATAGCGACTAGACACAGATTCTGTTTAATCACTTCAAGTCTGGACACTTTTACTGTCCAGGCCAATTTTCAGCTTTCAGACCTGTCACACTTTGAATGACAATTGCGCAGTCATGCAACACTGTACCCATATGAATTTTTTAGCATTTTTTGAGTCAGATAAAACTTTTTTTTTGGTTGTATTTATTCACCACTGGGATTTTTATGTTTTTTGCTATATAAATAAAAAAATCCCAATATTTCAAAAAAAGTGTTTTTCTCTATACAATTTTGCAAATAAATAATCTTTCTTCATAAATCTTTGGCCAAAATGTATTCATCTATCTTTTTAGTAATAAAAATAACCCAAATTAGTTTATAACCAAAAATTATAATTTTTCTAAATGTTTTTTATATTTTTATTTTTTTTTTTATATTATTATTTATGGGAGTTTTTTTTCAACATGCTGTCACCCTAGCAGTACAGTGTCACCATAGTGACACTGTACTACTTGTGGGGGGTTATGAAGATTTTTATTTTTTTTTACACTGATTGCTTTTACACCCATAAAGGCTGTAAAACCAATCATTTCTTCTTCTCTCTGAATGCATTCTTGTAGCCATTTTGAAATACTGTGAGAGCTGTGATTGGTCACAGCTTTTCACATGGTACAGGGCTGTTGTGAATAGCCTTATACCATGTGACCTCTGTGATCATTCACAGATTTCACTAGTAGTAAGCAATGATGTCAGGAAGTGACATCTTGCTTACTACTATTTATGTGATCACTGCTTGGCCAATCAGGGATCACATGATTGGGACCTCACACAGGGGTCCCGTACAGGGATCGGTGTTCCGAATAGATCGCAGTGCCGTGCGCTCTCAGGGAGTGCACACAGGCTGAAAATGCGGGCGCCGTTTATGAATGGCAACCCGCTCCTGCACTGCTCCTCTCCTGTTTATGTACATGGACCGGATGGGAAGTGGTTAATAATCCCCCTCCCACTGGCCATGCATACTGATCTCCGCAGAACTTATTTTTCTGTTTTATCCTAGAGTGCCCCAGAACTTTCATCATCCTAGTCATGCTCATATTTTGTCACTCTGTTTGGAATTTTTCATTGTAAAGCCAGCAGATTACTTGTGCTGAGTATTGATAATGTTTACACATTGTCTGAGCTTATAATAGGGGTTTCTGTAATATTTCAGGATGTTGGTAAAAAAAATGTGCTCCGCCAGTAAATTTTGCATGCGTTGTCAGTAAAAAAAAGTCGCAGGAGGTTAGTAACCCTGATCCAAGAGGTGCGTTACTGACCAGATCACCAGATGATATCATAGAGAGCAAAGCCTAAAAAGAAAGAAAACTAATGCAGCCACCACATCTAGTGATTGGTAAGCTGCGATATATTACATATTTGGTTTTGGGATTAATACTACTTTAAATCGGCCACACATGGTTCAGATATTTTTTCGTTTAGCAAATTGAACAAATTCCCCCATTCACACAATTCAGACGCATGGGGGAACTGGAAGCTTTTTTATCAAGTGCCATTTATCTGACAGGATGGATGAACAGAAGCTGACCTGTAATTGACTTGTGTTCAACTGCAGTGGTCACACATAGATCGAATTTGTATCTGCTGAACCAGCTGAATTTTGGTTCATCTGCAGCCACTTTCATGCTTTCTCATTTTTTCTGGTTTCAACACATCAACTTCAGGAACAACATGTTCACTGTCTACTATATCCCACCCACTTTCATATGCCATTGTAAGGACGTAATCAATGTTATTCACTGTACCTGTCACTAGTCATAATATTATGGCTGATGGTGTGTGGGGTAAATATTATCTTTGAACAATCAACTTTAGACCTTCTACTGAGGACTTATCCCATCTATCATTTGTTAAACAAAACAAAGTCCTCTGTGTGACGAAACATGTAGGGTGAAGCCACAACACGTGATGTCACCACGCACCGCCACAGACAATGGCCATTTTGGTTGGATGGAAACATTATACAGGCAGGCTGTTTTTTCACCTTTTGATTGTAAGTGCATTACTGTGAATAAATTGTATTACCTTTTTTTTAGATTACTACATGGTCACTCTTTCCTTATGTGGTGTTTTACTGCGTGGAGAGTTATTTGCCATCTGATATCTTACTGTTTAGAACAGTGGTTCTCAACCTTTCTAATGCCGCGACCCCTTAATACAGTTCCTCATGTTGTGGTGACCCCCAACCATAAAATTATTTTCGTTCCTACTTCATAACTGTAATTTTGCAGTGGGAGGACTAGTGCCACATCATTGGTGTCAGTGGAAGGAGTAGTGCCCCATCACTGATGTCAGTGGGATGAATAGTGTCCCATCGTTGGTGTCAGTGGGAGGAATAGTACCCCATCGTTGGTGTCAGTGGGAGGAATAGTACCCCATCGTTGGTGTCAGTGGGAGGAATAGTGCCCCATCGTTGGTGTCAGTGGGAGGAATAGTGCCCCATCGTTGGTGTCAGTGGGAGGAATAGTGCCCCATCGTTGGTGTCAGTGGGAGGAATAGTGCCCCATCGTTGGTGTCAGTGGGAGGAATAGTGCCCCATCGTTGGTGTCAGTGGGAGGAATAGTGCCCCATCGTTGGTGTCAGTGGGAGGAATAGTGCCCCATCGTTGGTGTCAGTGGGAGGAATAGTGCCCCATCGTGGTGTCAGTGGGAGGAATAGTGCCCCATCGTTGGTGTCAGTGGGAGGAATAGTGCCCCATCGTTGGTGTCAGTGGGAGGAATAGTGCCCCATCGTTGGTGTCAGTGGGAGGAATAGTGCCCCATCGTTGGTGTCAGTGGGAGGAATAGTGCCCCATCGTTGGTGTCAGTGGGGGGAATAGTGCCCCATCATTGGTGTCAGTGGGGGGAATAGTGCCCCATCATTGGTGTCAGTGGGAGGAATAGAGCCCCATCATTGGTGTCAGTGGGAGGAATAGTGCCCCATCATTGGTGTCAGTGGGAGGAATAGTGCCCCATCATTGGTGTCAGTGGGAGGAATAATGCCCCATCATTGGTGTCAGTGGGGGGAATAGTGCCCCATCATTGGTGTCAGTGGGAGGAATAGTGCCCCATCATTGGTGTCAGTGGGAGGAATAGTGCCCCATCATTGGTGTCAGTGGGAGGAATAGTGCCCCATCATTGGTGTCAGTGGGAGGAATAGTGCCCCATCATTGGTGTCAGTGTGGTGGAGGGGGAAATAGTGCCCCATCATTGGTGTCAGGGGCGGGGGGGGGGGGAATAGTACCCCATCATTGGTGTCAGTGGGAGGAATAGTGCCCCATCATTGGTGTCAGTGGGAGGAATAGTGCCCCATCATTGGTGTCAGTGGGAGGAATAGTGCCCCACCATTGGTGTCAGTGGGAGGAATAGTGCCCCACCTTTGGTGTCAGTGTGGTGGAGGGGGAAATAGTGCCCCATCATTGGGGTCAGGGGGGGGAATAGTGCCCCATCATTGGTGTCAGTGGGGGGGGGGAATAGTGTCCCATCGTTGGTGTCGGTGGGGGGAGGAATAGTGCCCCATTCTTGGTGTCAGTGGGGGGAGGAATAGTGCCCCATCATTGGTGTCCAGTGGGGGGAGGAATAGTGCCCCATCGTTGGTGTCAGTGGGGGGAGGAATAGTGCCCCATCGTTGGTGTCAGTGGGGGGAGGAATAGTGCCCCATCGTTGGTGTCAGTGGGGGGAGGAATAGTGCCCCATCGTTGGTGTCAGTGGGGGGAGGAATAGTGCCCCATCGTTGGTGTCAGTGGGGGAGGAATAGTGCCCCATCGTTGGTGTCAGTGGGGGGAGGAATAGTGCCCCATCGTTGGTGTCAGTGGGGGGAGGAATAGTGCCCCATCGTTGGTGTCAGTGGGGGGAGGAATAGTGCCCCATCGTTGGTATTAGTGACAAAAATGATGGGGCACTATTCCTCCCACTGACACCAATGATACTTACCTTGCTGACCCCTGCTCCAGCCTGGGCTCGCTCTCACTTACCTGTCAGCTGTCTTCCTTCTCTGGCCGCTCTCCTCTTCACTTACTCCGGCAGCTCCCTCGATCTTCTTTGATCTACGCGCGCTACCGCTCGGCTCCTCCTCTCCAACCTCCACCTCCTCGCCGGTGATTGGCCGCCTGTGTGCCTCTCCTGAGCTACAGTTCCAGTGGCCAATCAGCGGTGAGGAGGCGGAGCTGTTGAGTGATCCCGGAGGTGTGGCCAGGTGACAGGGGCAGCGTATCATCCCGCCCACACATCGCCTGAGTCAGAGGAGCGGTGTCTCGGTTCCTAAGACCATCGGAAATATGTGTTTTCCGATGGTCTTAGGCGACCCCCGTGAAATGGTCGTTCGACCCCCAAAGGGGTCACGACCCCCAGGTTGAGAACCGCTGGTTTAGAAGATAGTTTGCATATCATCCGGATCTCCTGGGAGATTTATTTGGAAGCCTATGGTATATCTGCTGAGTCTGATAACTGCATTATTTGGCCAATCCTTTGGGTGATCAAATTTTCCGGTAAGAGGCTGAGTGATTGGGTGGAAGGTGATGGACTCTCTATTCTTTGGTCTCCGGTTCACTAAGCACCAACATTTCCAGATCATGTGAACTTCTATACACACTTTTACCTAATGTGTATTATTGGTACATAATCATTCCACTTTGTTGGGGGTTTGGATATCATTCTTTATTGTCAAGTTTTTGCTAATGCCCTACACTGATTGTTTTGTTACATCCCATCTATCCAAACAATTTGCACCCACTTAGGCAGGCCCTGGCCACTCCATATTTCTTGGTAGATATAAAGGAGATGGTACAGCCAGGTCGTAGGGTGCATACCACCCAACTTTCTGAGATGGGAACGAGGGACACATATTAGCAAAAGTATGTAGGCATAGGACACACCCCCTGTCAGGCCCCCCTTAAAGAAAAATTATACAAAACAATGATTGGTTGAAACAATTCTAAAGGTTAATTTTTTTTTTGTTTAACTAGTTGCCGACCGCAGATAGCCGAATGACGGCTGCACTGTGACCGGCCAGTGCTGGGAGGGCGTCATATGACGTCCTCCCAGAATGCACTCTCCAGTGCGCCCCCCGGCGATCTCCGTGATCGCTGTGTCCTACGGACACAGCTGATCACGTGATGTGGTAAAAGGCCAATCACAGCAGCCTTTTACCATGTGATCAGCCATGTCCAATGACATGCTGATCACCAGGAAATGCAATTGCTGGTTCTTGCTGCACTTTCCTCTCGCTGTCAGAGCATGAGGAAAGTACTGCCGAGAACCGGAAGTTGTCAGAGCAGGGATCAGCACCGATCATCAGGACACTGATGAGCAGTGCCCTGGTGATCGGTGCCCAGCAGTGCCACCCACCAGTTCTGCCCACCTGTACCCAGCAGTGCCGCCCACCTGTACCCAGCAGTGCTGCCCACCTGTGCCCAGCAGTGACACCCATCTGTGCCTAGCAGTGCCACCCATCAGTGCCACCCACCAGTGCCACCCATCAGTGCAGCCTAGCAGTTGCGCCAGTGAGTGCCCAGCAGTGCCACCTATCAGTGACGACTATCAGTACCCATCATCAGTGCTGCCTATCAGTGCAGCCTCATCAACACACAACAGTGAAGGAGAAAAAGTTCTTGTTTGCAAAATTTTATAATAGAAAAAAGAAACTTTTTTTTTCAAATTTTTTGCTCTTTTTTTGTTTATAGCACAAAAAGTAAAACACCCAGGGCAAGTAAATACCACCAAAAGAAAGGTCTAATTGTGAGAAAAAAATGATAAAAATGTAATATGGGTACAATGTTGCATGACCGTGCAATTGTCATTCAAAGTGCAACAGCGCTGAAAGCTGAAAATTGGCCTGGAAAGGAAGGGGGTATAAGTGCCCAGTAGGCAAGTGGTTAAGAAAAAATAACAAACATGTCTATACTTACCTGCTGTGTGCAGTGGTTTTGCACAGAGCAGCCCAGGACCTCCTCTTCTTGGGGTCCCCTGCTGGCACTCCTGGCCCCTCCCTCCTGTCTGGTGCCCCCACAGCAAGCCGTTTTCTATGGGTTCACCTGCTGCTCCATGTGTCCATTCACACACACAGAGCCATGGCTCAACCCCTCCCCCTCTCTCTTGTCATTGGCTCACTGGCTGCGATTGACAGCAGTGGGAGCCAACGGCTCCCGCTTCTGTCTCAGCCAATGAGGAGACGGAGTCCCGGGATAGCTGTGACTCCAGTGCACATCGCCCCCCTAATACTCACCTATGTGAGTATTAGGGGGGCTGGGTGGTGCTGCACAGAGAAGGTTTTTTACCTTCATGCATAGAATGCCTTTAGAACCACTTTAAACCCACAAGTTTTTTTGGTCTGTTTCAATAATTTTTATTATTAAGTTTTTAAACAAAGTACAAACATGTATAAAAGTACATGAAGTGCATCTGGATGGGTTCCAGACATCCAAAGCAGCATATCATAAATGACTGCCAAGATACAATCATTAAAGCAGAACTGGTAAAAAGGGTCTTTTGTTCATGCAGTTTAGTTGTGCCTGCACTGCATGAGTTAAAGTGGTTGTAAACCCTTACATATACCCAGTGAAGTGACTGGCCTCAGGTGGTACACAGAGATGAAGCAAAGCCTCCTACTTAGGTTGCACCTGTTTATCTGAAGCCTTCTCTGCATCCATTCAAAGTGCTGAATTTATAAAGCTTATCTGAGAGTTCAGAAAAAATGGGTCAGAGAACTGAAATTACACTCTGCAGAGCTCAGTGAGGAGAGCTCTGAGAACTGATTGGAGGAAAGAGACACACCCCCTCCACACAGCACACAGCTGAGGCTGTCAATCTGCTGGAGGTCCCTCCCCTGTCACCATCTTTCTCTTGGTGTCAGGAAAACTTGTCAGAAGTGATTCATGCTGATAGAAGAGGAATAAAGCAGCAGACAGAAATGACACTTAGCGCTCCTGAGACAAGCACAGGCTATAGAGGGATATGCTTTGTTTATATTGCATGTCTGAGGTTTACAACTTTACACTTTACCTGCTTGTTTCTGTCTAGAGCAGAGATCCTCTCAGTGCAAGATCAGTCACTTTGGCTCCTGCCCCCCCCCCCCTGCAGTTTAGTGTGGTGGACTGTTCCTGATGCCATCACGCCAATAGACCGGCTCTGGACGTGACGATGGCAAGAACAGTCCCCTACTTGCTGTGGGGGAGTGCCATTTTCTGTGGGGATCAAAGGATCAGGTGAGTATAAGCAGTGGTGTATTTAGGTAGGCAACACAAAAATTGGCAGCTGCCCCCTTCCCCCATGGAGAGAGTTTGACATCGACCAACACCACCCCCCTCGCCCATGGAGAGAGACGAACATTGACCAACAACTCTCCTGTCCCTCCACCCAAGAGAGCCTACCACTACCATCGCCCCCCATACACACCAGACACCCAAGCCCCTGGGGCAAGAGAGAGAAGACACTCACTTTCACAGCTCCGGACATTCCCGGGAATGAGAGTCAGGCTCTACATACACCGTCAAGCAGTCCACAGTCTCTCTCGATTACCACCTGGTCCCCATGCTACGTGTGTCCCTTCTTCTGTCTTTTCTTCCAGGGGCGGTGCTGCCCTCACTGACCCCTGAAAAATGATGCCCTAGGCAAATGCCTTGTAGTAAATACACCCGAGTATAAGCTCTCTGCTCACCCCTAGACAAAATGAAGTTAACCCTTGCTGCACTGCACGGGAAAAAACATTCTGCTTTAACAATCATAAGTTCCGTACAGAGATCAACCTGCGTGATCACTTCAGCTGTACGGTGTATATTGTGGGGGCCGTAACCCAGGCTCACTTGTCATGTGATTTGACAGATCCAAGATACAAGTCACACCCTATTGGCAATGGAACCATTTGGAGTTGCACCAATTTTTAAAATAGTTCCTGCACTTTTTTCAGTGATTTCAGGGGCGACTTGCATGAAGTCGCACAGATGTCAGGCAAGCCGCATGTTAAATCGCATGGGGCCAAGTGAAGTAGCAGGATTTCAATGTTACATTTGCTGTGACCCGGGCTTGGCGCTGCACCTGTGATTTTATTTTTTTTACCCCCTTTATGTCCTTACATTGGCTTATGAAAGGTAGAAATTGGAAGGTTTAGCAGTGAGAGAGTTTTTATGGAGAAGTAATTCATTCTATATACAGCTCTATAGATGAGATGAGGGGGCAGTGGGGGGCTATGGGGGTGCACACATGGGGTGTGGAGGACAGGAGTTCCAACATGTGACAGCTGGCAGGACATGTCATGGCACAGAGGACACCACCCACAAAGGGGAGGGGCTGTGGAGAGGGCGGAGCCGGGATAGACGGACAGAAACAAAGAAGAGAGAGAGCGGAGAGGAAGAAGAGATCGGGGAGAGTCCACGTGGGGGCAGACAGGGCGGCCGGGTGCAGGATGGAAGGGACGATCGTCTGACTGAAGTCCCGGGGGGGAGAGCACAGCCTGGTATGGAATGATCGGCGGAGCGGGACAACTCCAACACACACGTGTCTATCTCTGCTGATCTGCCCCGACCTTTCACAGACACTTCCCGACCGCCGCCTTCCTTTGTCCGCCCCGCTGTCACTTGTCCTCTCCCCGGAGATCACCGGCCCCATGGCCGCCCTCAGCAGCCCCGGCTCCAGCCCCCACCCCACCTCCCCCCGGGTCTACTTCCAGTCCCCCAGCGAGACCTCCGAGGAGCCAGAGAGGCGACATCCGGGGAAAGTCACCGTCAAGTATGACCGCAAGGAGCTGAGGAAGAGGCTGCGGCTGGAGGAGTGGATCCTGGAGCAGCTGGTCCTTCTCTATGACTGCCAGGTGAGGGCGACACTCGCACACCCCGGGGAAAGGGGGGCAATCTACCACCGGGGGGGGCAATTACTGCTCCCCCCCACCTCTCAGATGGGATGACCTAATCCACTTTAGAGGAGTCAATGAGATTAGATGTCCCCAGTGTCAGGAGGATGGGTGGGCAGAGCAATTCCCTGGGGGGTGATCAGTGGTTAGTCACTTCATTCTGGGAGGGGCAGTCCATGTCCTCTGAGCCTGGCATGGATGGTGATGGGGGTGTGGGCTGATGACACCCTGAGCTCTGGGGACAGCTGGGGACACCTGTCAGGAGCATGTGACAGCGAAGGGGGCGGGATCACATTGCTCCATAAAGTTTCAGCCGGAACTAATGATCCAGATCATGTTGTAATCATTTATTATTGGATGATCTCATTATAAAATCCCACCAAAGGAAATGGCATCATTCTAAAATGTAATATTACTCTCAATATATATATTATTCATATATATTACTTTATAGAATAATACTTTATATATTATCTCTCTCTCTCTCTATTATTACTATATAGAGTGAGTAATATTGTATTATATATTGTAAAATTAGAAATAGAAAGTAGTAATATATAAATTAACATTATATACAGAGTAATAATATAAAATAGAGAGAGTAATATATAAAGTAGTAATATACAGAGTAACATTATATATAGAGAGTAATATTATTTATAATTTTACTCTCTATGTAATGTTACTCTGTATATAATATTCATATATTATTACTGTCTATAATATTACCCTGTATATAATATTTTTATAGAATAAATATTATTACTCTATATATTTACTCTATATAATATTATATATACATATATATATATATATATATATATAGTAAAATAAATAGAAAGTAATATTATAGATAGACAATAACATATGAAGTAATAATATATATGAAGTAATAATAAAATAAATAGAAAGTTATTATAGAGTAATCTATATATAATATTTTTTATAGAGTAATCTATATTATTACTCCTATGTATAATCTTACGCGCTCTGTGTAATGTTACTCTGTATGTAATATATATATATTATAAAATTACTTTCTCTCTATTTATAATATTACTATATATATATTATCTCTCTATATAATGTTACTCCTATGTATAATATTACTTTATATAAAATTTCTATCTATCATATATAATATTACTCTCTATATAATATTTAAAGAAGAACTCTGGGCATAATTTTTATTTTCCCATGCAGTGGAAAAAATAACTTCTTGTTTTGTCCAGGAGTACAAGGAAAAGTATTACTTACCTGATCCTTTGAAAAATAGCGTTTCCCCATGTCCAGCCGTGGACTGTTCCTAATGTCCTCACGTCCAGAGGCAGTCTGTGGGCGTGATGACATCAGGAACAGTCCATTCACAAGAACAACTAGTGTGCAGGAAGCAGGAGTGGTGGAGACCAGTCTTGCGTTTGGAGGATCAGCGGATTAGGGAAGTGTATCTCCACTCTGCAGTCCCTTAGATAAAACGAGCTGTGTTTTTGTTTTTTTTGTTTTTTTCCACTGCATGTGAAAATAAAAATTTTGCCTGGAATTCTGTAACCACATGTTACACAGTATGTGCAGTTTATGTATGTGTGTATATATATATATATAGTGTGTGTGTGTGTGTGTGTATATACGCAGGCACAGGGAGAACATGCAAACTCCAGGCAGGTGGTGCCGTGGCTGGGATTTGAACCAACGACCCTAGTACTGCCAGGTGGAAGTGCTAACCAGTTGGCCACTGTGCTTCCCGTATGTATATATACACACTATATCAGGGGTGTCCAACCTGTGACACATGAGCTGCATGCAGCCCAGGATGGCTATGAATGCGGCCCAACACAAAATTGTAAACTTACTTAAAAATGTTGTTTTTTTTGGCGGGCTGCAGAAATTGTTTGTAAAAATGCATTTACACTTGACGAACACATGCAACCGGAATAAAAGTTGATAGTGTCGCTTTACTGAACTTTTATCAGCTTTACAGAACTTTATTCTTCCAAACATTTTCTGCACATCAGCTCTCCTTATTGGTAGTGTATTGTATGTGTGACCCAAGACAATTCCTTTTTCTTCCAACGTGGCCCAGGAAAGTCAAAAGGTTGGATCCCCCCTGGCCTATATAGTAGTTTGTTGTGGACGGGATGAACAATGGAGAGCGGCTTTAATGTTTCCGAATCTTCCCCAGGCTTGTTTTATTGTCTCTGGTGTATCTCTGCTTTCTCTGTTAGTCATTACCCTGTCATTCTTTACAGCCAACATTCATCGGGTCATAACAAGTTGTCCTGCTGTGTACATTGTAAATAGTTGTATTCAGGGATTTCCTGCTTTTGAAGTGTCTCAACAAATATTCAGTTTTCAGGACTATGGAGTGTAAAGTGGTAATTACTTCAGCACACGATGCAAATAAAAGGTTTAATATATAGCAGACACAGAAAGCACCCTCTACATGTCTTCCCCCGCTCCTCTGCTACCAGAACCACATGGTAAACTCTGTACTTCCAGGTATGAGGGAACATGTGACACTCCTCTGGCCAATCACAAGGCCTGAGTTCTGTCACATAAAATTGGGGAGGAAAATGCATGCTTTGTGCAAGTTGGTGAAAGCTGTGAAGTCCAAGATAGGTGTTATAACTCTTGTAAAGCAGGCCTGCTACTTCTCCTGCTGTATACAGATTCACTTTGAAGCTAGTTTTCCACTTCCACAGTAAACTGTTTACAAGGCCATATACAATACAGTACAGCACGTGAATACATATACAGCACAGCATTCATGTATAATACGTATACAGCACCGCATCCATATATTATACAATGGGTAAGGGGAGGGTAGGCGGTGGAGAGAAAATAACTCTCCCTATCCTTGTGTAACGGTTTTACTGGTACCAGACCCCTAATGAAATAATTGAAAAGAGAACCCTAACCACAAAAGCTAATGGGGCTTTGAAAGTACCACACCGAGCCAATACAAGTAAAGTGAAAACAGTAGATAAAATTGAACACATTTTAATTAGGTTAAAAAGCCACCCATCGGTGGAAAAATTTAGTCAGACATAGACACATAAAGGCATATAATTAAAATCAACAAAGGGTAGCTTACAGTAGGCAGCGGCCGATGTCTTGGACGTAATAGATGCCACGGGCATTGGCCATAGCAAACAGCAGCCACTGTCTTGGAACGAAGTAGGCTCAACTGTACAGATCGTATATGAACTTGTAAATGGTTATCAGTGGAAGTATATACATATATAGACAAAGAACACCCAACTATATGCGATAATAGGTGTTAATGAACAACTAGTGATACAGTATCCACTTGAGACCATGAAAAATGCTTTGCATTAGAGATTCCAACGTGTTTTGTGGGACACAACCCACTTCTTCAGGGGAAAAAGGGCAAAACATAAATGCCAGTCGATGATATCGGCACATTCTGAGATAGCTCCTGCTAGGTATAGGTCAATGGTATCTGGGTGAACAGGGAGAAGCCTTCAACGACCATAAGAAAAAGTCATTGATCAAGAAAGGGTGCAAATGTATTTGAAGACTTGTAGAGACAAAGTCATCATTCATTCAAAACAGGAATGCAGTGGCCAGGTGGTATAAGTCATCATAATAGCCAAACATAGATTGCTTTACAAAAGTGGGGAGACAAATATCTTGCCGAAGGAGGGGGAGGAATGAACCTCAAGCCCATTTCCCCCTATGTAGTCTGGAAATGGTGTGTGTGTGTGTATACACACAGCATTCATGTTTCATACATGCACAGCACAATATACATTCACAGCATCCATTTATTATACATGTACAGCACATATACAGACAACATCCCTTTATTATACATGTACGGGACAACATCCATGTACAGCACATATACAGACAGACATATACATGTACTGCACATATACAGACAGCATCCATATATTATACAGGTACAGCACAATATCCATATATTATACATGCACAACATCCATATACAGCACAACATCCATTTATTATACATGTACAGCACATATACAGACAATATCCATTTATTATACATGTACAGCACATATACAGACAATATCCATTTATTATACATGTACAGCACATATACAGACAATATCCATTTATTATACATGTACAGCACATATACAGACAACATCCATTTATTATACATGTACCGCACATATACAGACAACATCCATTTATTATACATGTACAGCACATATACAGACAACATCCATTTATTATACATGTACAGCACAATATCCATTTATTATACATGTACAGCACATATGCAGACATCTATTTATTATATACATGTACGGGACAATATCCAGACATCCATTTATTATACATGTACAGCACAATATCCATGTTTCCTTTATAGTACAGAGTCATAGTTGTCAGTGATCTCACATACCTGTGACTGTAGCATTTGTCCACAGCAGTGTTGGAATGGCCATTGAACTTAGTAGAGGATACACTGGTGGGGCATCTTGAGTGTTTGACAGCAATTAAACAGTTCCATTCTAGGTTCACACTAATGCAGCTGCGACTTGATCCAAATTCCAGTGCATTTTTGTATGCGTTTTTCACATACAGGCGTACCTCAGTTTACAAATTTAATGCATTCTCCAGGATGTTTCATATTGCAAAAAAATTCATAAACCGAAACACGCTTTCCCATAGGAATGCATTGAAAACCAATTAATCCGTTCCAGAGGTCAGAAAAAAGTAACAAAAAAAGTCTTGTCTGTTCAAAACGCTTTATAAAGTGCACTTTAAAGGCATGGAGCCGGCTCTCTAAACCTCCCAGGCGCAATGCATCCTGGGAAAACTTGCTTCATATTGCAAAAAAAAAAATTCGTAAACCGAGGCATTATTTCCAATGGATTTTCATTCGTAAACCAAAAATTCTGTTAACCGAGGCGTTCGCAAACTGAGCTACGCCTGTATATGAATTTTTTTGTAGAAGGAGACTATGC